AACATTTAAATATATGTGTATATATATGTATATCTATTACATTGAGATATCATTTACATACCACACCATTTATTTGGAATATGCAATTCAATGGTTTCTAGTATATTAACAAGGTTGTGCAGTCATCATCATTATGTAATTTCAGATATTTGCATTACTCGCCCAAAAAACTCTATACCCATTTGCAGTCCACTCTCCACATCCCCCCAACTGAAACTGTTCTTGGAAACCACTGATTGGCTTTCTCTCTCTATGGATTTGCCTATTCTGGATATTTCATACAGTTATGTGCGTGGTCTTTTGTGATGGCTTCTTTAGCTTACCATAATATTTTCAAGGTTCATCTATGTTGTACCATGTACCAGTATGTCATTCCTTTTTTATAGTTGAATTATATTCCATTTTATGCATATTCTATATTTTATATATCTATTCACCAATGGATGGACATATGGATTGTTTCCACTTTTCGGCTACTATGAATGATACTGTTATGAACAGTCACATACAAATTTTTGTGTGGACATACATTTTCATTGTGTTGAGTACACATCTAGGAGTGAAATAGTTGGATTATACGGTAAGTCCAAACACTGTGAGGAACTACCACAGTGTTTTCCAAGGTGGTTATAACCATTTTACCCTCCCACTGGCAATGTATGAGGCTTCTCATTTGCCCACATTCACACCAACACCTGTCTGGTTTTTTAAATTATTATTATAGCTATTCTAGTGGGTATGAAGTAGTATCTCACTGTGGCTTTGATTTGAATTTATCTGATGCCTAATGATGCTAAGCATTTTTTTCATGTGCTTATTCGTCATTTGTACAAGTTCTTTGGAGAAATGCCTATTCAGATTCTTTGCCCATTTTTTAATTGGGTTATCTGTCTTTTTACCATTGATTTTTATAAGAGTTCTTCATATATTCTGGACATAGGTCTCTATACAAAGTTTTTCTACTATTCAGTGGGTTGTCTTTTCATTCTCTTGACGGTAGGCTTTGAAGAGCAAGTTTTTCATTGTGAAGTCCAATATTTTCTATTTTTTCTTTTGCCACTTGTGCTTTTGGCATCACAGCTAAGAAACTATTCCCTAATCAAAGGTCATGAAGATTTTTACACTCATGTTTTCTTCTAAGAGCTAATAGTTTCAGCTCTTACATATAGGTCTTCAGTCCACTTTGAGTTATTTTTTATTAGGACATGAGGTAAGGTAATACAAAACTCATTCTTCTGCATAGATAACCAGTTATCCATGAGGACAGGGACAGAACCACAAAAGACACTAGGTCAAACAATAACCAGGGTTCATACAGGGCCTTTTATTGTGGGGAAAAAACAAACAACTATTCTTTCCACCACTGAATGCTTTAACAGCCTTGTTGGAAATCAACCGACAATACGTGTGTAGTTTATTTCTGGACTCTCAATTCTGTTTCACTGATCTGTACGTCTGCCCTTACGCCAGTGCCACACTGTCTCAGCGACTTTTGCCTTGCTGCAAGTTTTCAAATAGGAATGTGAATCTTCTGATTCTGTTATTCTTTTTTCAAAATTGTTACAGCTATTCTTTGGCCCTTGAATTTTCATAAAATTTTAGGATCAGTTTGTCCGTTTCTGCAAAAAAACTAGCTGGGATTTTGGTACAATTACACTGAACCTGTAGATCAGTTTGGGGAATACTGCCATCTTAGTAAGATTAAGTCTGCTGATCCACAAACCTAGGATGCCTTTCCACTTACTCGGGTCTTCTTTTAATTTCTTTCAACAGTGTTCTATAGTTTTCAGAATACAGGTTTTATATTTCTTTCGTTAAATGCATTAAGTATTTTATTCTTTTTGATGCTATTGTAAATGAAATTATTTTCTTACATTTTTGGATTCTTCATTGCAAGGTTATAGACTCAGAGCTGATTCTGATTTTGGTATATTGATCTCACATCCTGCAACCTCATGAACTCATTTTATATGCTTTAATCATCTCTTCCTGGATTCTTAGGATTTTCTATACATAATTCCATGCCATATGAAATTATGCAATAGCAGAGTTTTACTTCTTACTTTACAATTTTACTACATTTTCTTACCTAAATGCCCTGACTAGACTTTCTAGGACAATATGCAACAGGACTGGGAAAACACTGCTTCTTCTTATTCCTGTTCTTAGAGGGGAAGCATTCATTCTTTCCCCCATTAAGTATGATGTTAGGGTCTGAGATTTTCACTGATGGCCATTATCAGGATAAGGACATTCCTTTCTAGCTCTAGTTTGTTGGATGTTTTTATCATGAAACGGAGCTTTAACTGTTGAGATGCCCCTGTAGTTTTTAATCTCTTATTATACTGACACAGTATATTACATTAAATGACTTACAATTTGTTAAACCAAACCTATGGTCCTAGAATAAATCCCATAATCATGATGTATAATCCTTTATATTGTTGGATTCCATTTGCTTGTATTTTTTGAGGATTTTTACGTCCATATTCATGTTAGTCTGTAGTTTCTTCTCTTGTAGTATCTTTATGTGATTTTGGACTACTGAATTTGGGGCTAAATAATTATTTTTTGTAAAGGTATATACAGTGAATTTTAGGATATTCAGCTGCATCTCTGTTCTATGCCCATTAAAGGTCATTAAAATAATAAAATTTACTTTCACTAGTAACTGTAAATACTCTATGTTATCTTTCTGTTACAATAAATTTTCTAAGAAAAAGCTCTTACAGTTCTCCTTGGTGGATTTTGTCATTCTTTTCTAAATTTCCAAAACCTATGTGAAGTTCTGACCACACCAATCTTAATAAAAGTCCTCTGAAATGACAAAAGCACTCATTTCCAACACCAACAAAAATGCCAATTCCTTTAAAACTTCATAAATTTGGGAATCAGGCTAATTCGGTCATGATGATTAATATCCCTCACATTCTATTTATTCTATTATACTATTTTGCTCTGGAATAAACCTACTTAAACTCTCAAGACAAATTTGGAACCTCAGAATCTGACCTAACTAATAAAACCTCACTTAATCCATTCTTACGAATACCTAAAATATGCTAATAACCTAAAATTCTATCATAAAGGCACAAACACCTTTAAGTATTTATTTAAAATGCGTATCAAGATTTTTAGGAAATATACAACAGTTTTTGTGAAAGCATTTGCCATACGAGGCAACTAAATTTTTCCCCATTAACACAGCTCTTAAAGTAAATCTAATCATACCTTACGCTGCTGAACTTTTTTAAAGTAATATAACTGAATTCTAAATACACAAGAAGAACATTCTTGTTTTCCAAAGTAATCACTTTGAGCGGGAACATTCTTTTTCCAAAATACAACTGTGGAGTTACTCTTCTGGAATATCTTCAAAGTCGAATCATATAACATCATCACTCACATTTTATGTTTAAGCAAAACAACAGTACCACTTTGATCACCACCTTTATTCATTAATCTTGGTTCCCAAGGACATTTTGGCAATTTCCAATCAAGTCCACGCTCAGAGGATAAAGAATTCCTTCCTTCTTTCCTTTTCTTCCATTAATCCTATATTTACTGACTCCCTGCTTGGTGCTGGGTAAATGTTGGGTGATAGAAACTTATACCATATGACGACCTTTTACTTTGGCTCTCCATCTTTGTCTTTGGCTCTGTGGCAATGAGAAGAGGGGATCACCCAACCAGCAGATCAGACACATACTAAGTCATCAGCAGATTCAGTTCCCTGACCACTGCCCAACACCACCACCAAATACAAAATGAGAAGAGTTCAGCTTCACGTAATTTATCAAGTTAGGTAATTTTAAAATAAACTAGTTTAATTTCAGTATTTAAGTAGTGACTCTTTTACATGTTTCTAACTTCATATAATGGCGTGTACCGTGTGTCCTTCAGTAATTTGATTTCTGGCTCAATATAATGTTAACATAATTCTTTAAATATTGATACATGTAACTCCAGTCCATTTACTTTCATTGCTGTAGGACACTACACTGCATGAATATAACACAATAAATCCACTCTCCTGTTGATAGACATTTAGACTGATTTTAAACAGGACAAAACTGCTTCCAGAGAAATGATATTCTATTCTATCCTAAATACTATGCACACCAAAAAGACATTACAGAAAGATTCCCAAGAGACCTACCTTTCTTGCACCCTCCCCAACAACCTCAAACCAATACAACCTCTTTGTGCCCCAATTCATATTCGACCATTTTAGTGAGAAAGCTCCTATCTGCAGAATAGGAAGAAGCTTACTTACCAAGGATCAAAATGATAAAGGTTAATTCTTCACAGAGCCAAAGCCAAGGGGCTGGTGAAGGTGAAATACAGAAAGGCAAGAAAATTCTCCCACTACCTTTTATTATTCCACTGGTTTTTAAATTAATTTTCCTAGAATAGCAATTGCGAGTTTTAAATCTCCACAAAGTTTATCACTCTTTTAAAAGTGGCTGGCTCAGATGGTTAAGCGGCCGACTCTTGATTTAGGCTCAGGACATAATCTCAGGGTCCTGGGATCAAGTCCCACATCATGCTCAGAGGGAGTCCGCTTGAGGATTCACTATTCTCTCTCTCCTCCCTCTGCCCCTCCCCACTGCTTGTGCTCTGAAATAAATAAATCTTAAAAAAACAAAAAAAACTATTCTATCATTAGTAGGTGAACTTATCTGAGTACAGTACTTACCAAATTCAATTTAAGAATTGCTTTTATAGACTGAATTATGGAGAGAATGAAGTACACTCTAAGGCTAGATGTATTATATTCAGTCATATGGTTTAATATTGACACAGAGTAGAAAACAGAAGACGACTTTTTGTCCACCAATAATCAAAGAAAAAGGCAGTAATGTCAAATTTCTCAGATGTTCTTATTTCTAAATGAATGCATGTGAACTTTAAGCCAAAAGAAAAACAGGATATTTTTTTAAAGGGAATGTTTTTAATATAACTCTACCCCTTTTTTTTATTTTTGAGAAATCACTTACTTGGGCTTGGAAAGCACCTTTTCCAAGTTAAATTCTTTGAGGTATCTTATTATGGCAGCCAAAGAGCAAATCACAGCCTTCTCCAAGTTAATGATGCCAGAAAAACTTTGAGAAGCTAAAAAACAGAATATATAGTTTCATTAAAGTTATTGCTCACCATTATTAAAAACAAACTTTAACTGAAATTTAGTTTATGATTATTGAAATAATAATTTAGACAATACCTCCTAAAATTGCCATTTGGAAAAATGTAAAAGATTACAAGTACCTAGGTCATGGAAAAATGGGGATTTTCTGATGGTGAAATAAACCTTTTTTAGAGAGCAACTTTTTCTTTTTTTTTTTTTAATTTTTATTTATTTATTTATTTGACAGAGACAGCTAAAGCAGGAACACAAGCAGGGGTAGTGGGAGAGGGAGAAGCAGGCCTCCCGCTGAGCAGGAAGCCCAATGCGGGGCTCGATCCCAGGACCCTGGGATATTAACCTGAGCCAAAGGCAGACACTTAACAACTGAGCCACCCAGGCGCCCCAGAGAGCAACTTTTTCAAAATATAAAATGCCCATCCCCTTTGATCCAGAAATACTCTAAAATGCATGTCAAAGATGTGTGTACAAGGAAGTGAGCTAAAAGATCTTTTGTAATAGTAAAATCTACAGACAACCTAACTGAACATCAGGAGCGTAACAGCTCAATAAATTTTGGTAAGTCCAGATTATTATGCATCTACTAACAACAATGCCTTACAGCTATTTGTACAACTATCCATAATATACTGCTGAGTGAGGGTGAAAAAAAAGTTGTACAATCATTCTTATCTCTCAGCAGGAAGATTGCTTACCATCTGGTCTCCCAGCTTCATCCCTGTGCCCTACAGGGTATTCTCAACACAGCAGCCAAAAGAATCCTTTTAAAAATGTACATCAGACCATTAGACTACTTTGCTTATAAAAACCCTCTAACACCCACAACTCACTGAGAGAAGCGGCTCAAGCCCTGACAGGGGTCTGTAAGGCCCCACAACCTGCCTTCCACCTTCCCGAACTTACCTCCTCGGATTCTCTCCCTTACTTTGTCCTAGCACCCAGGCTCCTTTTATTCCTTAAACCTACCAGGCACTTAGATATGTTGTACTTCTGGCGTCTCTGCCTAAAACACTGTTCCTTCACCTGGGTGTATGGCTTTACCCCTACACTCCTTCAGGCTTCATTCAAACCTTTGCTCACGTGCCACGTTCTCCGGGAGGCCTTACTTCACCACCCTATTCAAAAGTGCTCCCTCTTCCCTGCCTTATTTTCTTCATAATACTTACCACTTTCAAACACACTATTTTATTGTATATATCTTCCCCTTAGAATGTGAACTCCAGAAGAGCAGAAATTTTTGTCTTTTTTTATCCCTTATTGTATGTGTGATGCCTTGCATAATAGGCAGCCAGTAAAAATTAGTTGAAAGAATAAATCCAAGGTATATGAAATATACAGAATTATATATGTATACTTATATGTATGGATTTGTACCTATAAAAATTCTTAAAGATTTGGGGGGAGGGACTTTTTTTCTTTATGCACATCTATGTTTGGACCTTTTTTTGCAACAGTCATTTATTACTTTCAGAAATAAAAAAATTATAAAATATTCTCTCCACATCAGTAATACCAAGTACATTAATTTCTATTGCAGTATTTTATCCATTAGGCCACTGGGGCTTCACTCTATTGCAGTTTTTTATAAAACCAAGGTGTGAAGAAAGAGCTAACAAAACTCTTCCCCCTTCTGAGAATTTCACCTTTAACTTTCTAGCTCTGTTCCCCAGGAAACCTGATGAAAATGAAGCACATTGTTATGAGGTAACATTGTATATGGTAAGAATGACCTGAAACCAGTAAATTGCATCCGGACTAAGAAGAATTATAAACCCCTGACTGTAGAAATGTTGGCCTTCTCTGAGTACAGGGACCCTGAAGCTGGCATGGCATGAAGCTTCTAGGCCTGGGTAGGCCCTGACGAGTATCTCCTGTCTTTGCAGCTAAACTGTCACTTGGCATGGGGTAGGGATGGGGGGGGAAGGGGTTTGCACAACAACTTAAGCTCTCAATGGCTCTATGGGGCGACAAACCCTGTGGAGGACTACTCCCACTAAGAGGAACAAGTGCTGCCTACTGGCAAGCTGGTTTCCTATCCCATACGCTTCTAAGTGAATGTGACGTCAGAAGAGGCTTATGGTAGTTGTCTTTACTTGAGCATAAGACAACAATCCCTTGGTGATACCGCAGACTGTGTCAGAATGGGTTACCCTCTCAGACACTCAATTCAATTTGACACCATGAGATTAAAAGAGTTGGGGAGAGAAATGCTAACAAGACATTGGTGCCTGTGGGGGAGCCAAGGGAAGACTGATTTATCTACGGTCTAATGGTGAAAACCTTACAGCATGTGGTAAGATATAAAAATGAACCTTAACAGAATAAGCTGGACTAGAAGGAAGTAGGGGTATAGACCAAGTAAAGCACTGATACCTGGCTGACAACATGCAGATTAGACAAATAATGGTTACTTAACATAGTAATACTCTGTCATTAATGTTCTGGTATTTAAATTGTGGCAATCAACCTAACGAAATACTAGCCTTTATCAGGAGATTTATCTCAATACTCTATAAAATGGCAAGGAAAATAATGGGCCATTTTTTAAGAGAAGCAAAAAGAAGGTTGGCCAGTATCTCCTTACAGTCCAATGAATATGTCAAAAACATTAAGTTACTAAATGGTCATAGCTACAAAGGAAGAAGCTGTAGGGGTGTTTTTGATGAGTGCAAGAAAAGTGAACTCTTGCTTCTATTTCTGCCAGTTATTTATTGATAACTGCCTAGTTTTTTCATTAAATTGGAAGTCAAACTTGCACCTTTATCCAAATCTCAACTCAGTTAAATTGGAGGACATTGAGGCTAACACATACGAAATATTTACCTTGGACGTCAAGTGCATCTTTTGCATAAAACTCCGTAACTGCCTGGAAAGCATGGCTGTATTCAAAGTACATGTCATCCATCCTTTCTACTCGAATTCTGTCATCCTGCACACTGAAAGAAAAAAACGAAAATTTCAAAGATAATTATTCACAATCTTGAACTATCTATATTTAGGCCTTGGCCTGACCAAAAAAAGAAATTCATTCTTTATTCTCCCCCAAGTTGAAAAAAAAGAGAGAAAGATCTAAAGTTTCCCTGTCAAAAGGCCCCATTTCATAAAATATAATTACAATTTTTACCACTGGTACTTTATATCAAGTAGTACACTGTGATTATCAAGAACTCACTGAAACTAAGGTCAATTACTTTGATAAATATAAAAGGAAGAAAACTGGAAAAGCATCATTTTAATTTAATTGAATCATTTGTTTAAATACTCTACCAATAAAATACATCTTTCTCTGAAATGGCATCTTTTTGCTAAGTCCACTTCTACCACAGTCCCCATTCAAAACTAGTAAATTGCCCCAGGTCAACTCTCACTCTCTCTTTAAAGCAGTTCTATAGTCTCTTTAAAATTGCATGCGTGAGTGAGTGAGTGAGTGAGTGTGTGTGTGTGTGTGTGTGTGTGATTATGTAAGTACATAAACAAAACCATATCATCCATGCTGGGTAGTATGTTTTCTCTCTCATTTTCTGTTTCGCTTGGCTCCCCATTCCCCCAGCCCCCTCTCCTTCACTATCACCTCACTCCCAACCCATGTTAACAGCCCAGAATGAATCCTTATTTTTTTTCATGTTCATATGTTCATGCACAAGCACATATCATATACATACATACTCATACATGTCCTTGTTTTATAGAAATGGGATGACTTCATACAAACTTTTCTGCATCTTATTTTCTTCATAAGCAGTAACTCTTGGGAATTCCTCCACATAAAGTGATCTATCTACAACTAATTGTTTTTAATGGCTGAAAATATTTCATAGTATGTAAAAGCCATAATTTATTCAACCATTTCTTTATTATTGGATATTCACTTGATGTTAACATCTGTCACGTGTTGCTATAGAACATTTTTATCTAAAAAAATAGTAAAACATTACATTAAATAAGTAATAAACTGCCACATCCCTCCTCAGTCACATTCATCTTTCTACCAACACTATCTCTAATTTCGTGTGTATTACTATATATGTTTTTATACTCTGCAATATACTTCAACGCCTTTATACAACATGTTGCTTTATTTCATGCTTTATTTTTTTTTAAAGATTTTATTTATTTATTTGACAGAGAGAGACACAGCCAGAGAGGGAGTACAAGCAGGGGGAGTGGGAGAGGGAGAAGCAGGCTTCCCGTCGAGCAGGGAGCCTGATGCGGGGCTCAATCCCAGGATCCTGGGACCATGACCTGAGCCGAAGGCAGACACTTAACGACCGAGCCACCCAGGCGCCCCTATCTCATGCTTTAAATTTTACGTAAGTGGTACTTTATTACACCTATCCTCCTATAACTTGCTTTTACACTCAGTATTGTAAGATTTATACATGAAGACAGATAAACTTCTCTTAATTTTCAAGAACTGCTAAGTATTCCATTACTTCTTATATTTTCTGGTGAATTTTTTAAGATTTGCTTTTCAAATTAAACTCACCTGAATTTATTTTGGGGGATGGTATGAAGTTAGAAATACAGTTAGATATTCCATATGATTAACAATTAAAGATCAAAGCACCAATTAGAGGACATTCCATCTTTTCCTACCACTTCATAATGCTGCCTCCAATGCATATCATGTTTCTATATGTGTGTGACCCTTTACTGGCTTCTCTATTCTGTTCCACTGATCTTTTTGTGTATCTTTGTAACAGGACTACAGTATCTTAATGTCCATGGTTTGGTATCAGTATCTGTAGCCGGGACCCTAGACCTTGCTTTTCAAGACTGTCTTAACTACTCATGGGCCTTTGACTTTCTTTATAAATTTTAGATTCATCTTGTCAAGTTAATAAAAACCTAATATTATTAGGATTTTGACTGGATATACAATGAATTAATTTAGAGAAAAATATCTTAATAAATCAAGATATCCTATTGTTTCTGTCTTTTATATGTAACAATAACATTCTTTAATTTTTTCCATGTTTTATATTCTTTGGTTGTGCTCAGTCTTAGATATATTATAGATTAATACTACTGTGAAGGGAAACGTATTTACTAGAGGGTTATCATGGTGTACAGAACCTATCGATTTTTACAGGTAGCAACCATACTGAACACCCTAATTTCTTGTGTTGTATTGTCTATGTATGCATTAATATCACCTGGGGAAAAAAAGATATTTTTATCTCTCCCTTACAATTTCTATTCTTTTCTTTTTCCTATCTCATTACACTACTGGCTAAGACCTTCGGGATGTGTTGAACAAAGGTAATGTTAATAGGCATCCTTTGTCTTCTTACTGACAATAATAGGGAGACTTCTAAAGTTTCACTCTTGAGTACGAGTCTTGCTATAGGTTTTGGAATAAATGACTTATTGGCCTAAGGTTTGGTAAGTTTCCCAGTTTGGGGGGGAAAAAAATCTTTAGTCATGAAGGATTATTAAATCTTAACCTAGTGTTCTTTCTACATGTGTGAAAATAATCACATGGCTTATATCTCACTTAATTTCTTAATATATTATTCATATTTTCTGATGCTGAATAATCCTTGCATTCCTGGGATAGAACATACTTGTCATGATGTTCTGTGTTGCTTAAATAAAGTTATAAACTCAACTTCGTAGTGTTTTGTTTTGTTTTGTTTTGTTTCCCCAGAAAATCTGCACCAGCATACCTAGCTCCAAAGGCTTTTTCTGTTCTACTACAAGACTAGGCAAGCATAAGCTGATTCAGGAAGAAATCTAAGAGGGAGGATTTTCTCCCATCTGTAGTGCTGAAGAAGGATTTTTTCACCTTAATCCACCAGAGAGAGAGTATCAGACTATTACAAATCTCTTATCAATTTTTATCTTCCCGTAGACTCCCTTAATACCTGGATTTTTAGAAGCCTGTAGCAAAGTATTATTTAGCAACTCAAAAAGCAGTGAATGACCTTACATGAGCTCCACAGTGATTTTGTACAAATTCCTAGAATGAACCCAAGAGGCAGCTGGTTACTCAATTACTGTTCTAATTAACGTTTTGTTTGATAAGCAGATAAGGATTTAGAAACCCATTAAATTTTATAAAAATGGACTTGTCAGTTATCCTTGAGACTTCCGTGAAAGCATTACGAGAGTGTTAAACTCATCGTTCCGCAATCTGTATATTGAACATCTTCATGCAAACATTTTTTCCACAAACTGGTTGGAGTTATAAAATCTGTGTTTTGCCAAATTTCTTAATTGAAGAAAGTCATGGTAGATTAAATCACTATCTTTGAAACAAATGTCTACTTGAAACACTGTGTACATAATGAGTAATATCCAACCAGAATTTTGTCAAACTAGATTTTAGCAAAATTTCTACATTAGGCACAGAACTGTCAACCTTGATTTCCTCGAACTACAGTCCTGGAATACCTGCATCAGAATCACCAGCAACACACAGTAAAAGCATAGATCCCACACCCTAAATGTGTTAAATCTGAATTCACAGGAAGTTAGGGGAGAAGAGGTATTTTCATCTTCAACAGAGTTTTCAGAATGATTCACGGGCAAACTGCAAACTGAAAACAGCAGTCTACAGGAAAGATATGGCAGTCACTGCAGGACTAGAGTACAAAGAGGAGATGGAAATCTTCTCCAACAGTAGTCTACTTTTCAGCTGCTCTGTTAGAGGTGGACAGTTAAGTGCCTTTCCACCAAAAAAATTTAGGAAGTCAACTATGGTCATGTAACTGATCTGAGTCTAAAACATTATGAAAACACCCTCCCTTTTCCACCCTCTACAGAGGCTGTTTGTGGCCTGGGCCGAAGCCTCCTGAACGGAAAGGAGGCTGAACAGAGGCTATGCTCCTCCCTGGGCCCAGGGTGGTGACTCCCCTTCTGTGCTGGATGGGAGGACTATGGTCAAAATAGGAGTCTCAGTCATTGCAAGGTGTATGTGAAGCTGGACTGTTTTAAATTAAGACTTCTGATTTAAAAAAAATTCTTTTCATATGTAACATGCCTTTCTGTTGCCAAATATATTGTTTTGGAAAAACTAAATGGTGATAAAACTCTCAACAAGTATGGAACCCATACTAAAATAAAAGAATTTCAGACCCAAAAATACCTTTTAATGTCAACTTGAACATAAAACTGCCGACTCTCTGGTGTTGAGTAACAGACCACCTACAAAGATCTTGATCTAACGTTCAATTGTGACCAAACAAATGTCAGCTTGCCAATTTTATGATCTATGCTAACTTTAGAAACTATCATTTTCATAGACAAAAAGAGCCTTGTAAAAGGCTGACAATCTGCTATAGGAAAACTCACAAAGCCTTTTCTGACAGCGTTCTTACTGATGATAAAAATACTGATTGAGTTCCAAGCTTCCTGGCTGAGTGATTAATTCTCTCCTCTGAGGATAGAATCCAATAGAGATCCAGAATGAATAAAACAGGCCATGTAATAGAGTTACAATGTCTCTATATTAGAATTAGTATGAGATTCATTAATTTTATCAACACGTATAGTAAGGAACTTTAGGAAGACAACGAGCATTATGTGAAATTAAAATTATGAAGACAACCATTATCTGACAAATATCAGAATAACTAGCCACAAAAACAGCAAGGAAAAAGGCCAGGGTAAAGATTCTTCATAAGATATAAAAACAGAATAAAATGATATGGACAGACTAATATCAAATATATCTGCCCAAACAACAAATGTAAATGGGGTAAACTTACTTATTAAAAGAGAGCTGATCTCAGATTGGATTACAGAGGGGGAAAAACCTCTGTGCTACAAACAGGAGTAAAATTTACAATAAAGTAATTCAGAAAGGTTAAAAATAAAAGGATAGCTGAAAAAAGAACTTGTCTAGATGGATATACTAGTCAAATGTAAATTAAAAAAAAGCACTGAACAAGATTTTGTATCAGGCAAGACAGAATTCAGGACAAAAAGCATT